AGAATTTATTGAATTTTAAATCTTAATAACTTAAAATTTTACATAATATTTTATAAAAATACACCAATAAAAATATTCAGTTTGTTTTAATTTATCATTTTATCAGTTTAGATTTACAATAAGTTTATCTGTTCTTAACTTATAAAGTTTAAAAATTAATTAATTTTTGTGTAGTTTATAGATGAAAGCCACCATATAAGAATTAAAAGTAAATAAAATAATTAGGACTCCAAAAAATATCAAACCAGTATTGAAATGGTATTGAAATAGTATTGATCTATAATAAATGGATTATAACTTATATGAATTTATAAATAAATTTAAATATTAAACTAATATTGAATGAATATCGAAATAATATCATTAGAAGTCCTAAGAATAATTAATAATAAATTTAAACTTATTATTTAAATAAATGAAAAAGTAATATAATATACAGTTCCCTATAATTAAAGTTCTTAACAGTACTACTTTGATATCTATTCAATATCAGTTTGATATTTAAATTTACTATAAATTCATATGAATATATTACAATTCATATATTAAATTTACTATAGATCAATACTATTTTGATATTATTTTAATATCAGTTTGATATTTTTCAAAGTCCTATATATATTAAAAATCAATCTTATAAAATATATATAATAATATTTTTTTTTTAATTTTTTTATCTATTATAAATAAAATATAATAATTACAACAAATTAAATTATTTTGTTATTTTTTTCTTATTAATATATATAAAAATAAATTGATAGCTAAACAATATAAACAAATTATTGGTATATTTTTTAATAATATAATATTATAAAAAAATTTTAAACAAATTGGATATTTTTGTTACAATTGTATATGATATAATTAAGTAATATAAGAAAACTAATTTCTTAATATTTATTTTGATTAGTTAAAAAACTTTTCTAAATATAATAGTCATATATTATAGTATATTATTTGTAAAAATCAGTTTGCTCCTCTTAATAATATAACAAATTATTTAATATAAGACTTAATATTACATTTCATATTAATATAATTAGAAATCATCTTTATAATAAAAGTTTTTATAATTATACTGTATTTCTTATAAAAAATTCTTTCTAAATAAAACATAAAAAAAACAATTGAAATAATATAAAGAAAATTATTTGAAATAGAGAATAAAAACATATAATATGACTAAATGAATTTAAATTTGCTCTTTTTAAATCAGATATTATATAAAGAAAGTCTAATGAAACATATAAAAAAAATTATATTCAATCTATAGTAAAGTTTAATAAAAAATCAGTAATATTTTGAGATTGTTTTGATTGAAATGGTATTGAATCTTTAATTATAATAGATAAAACTATGAATTCTAATGTTTATATTAATGTTCTTGCTAATTTTTTGATACAGTGAATTTAAAATTATTTCAATGCTATATTTCAACAAGATGAAGCTTTATGTTATATATTTTCATATATTCTTTGATGATTGTCAACATATAGTATCCCACTTTTAAATTGGATAATACAAAACCTGAATCTAAATTCAATTGAAAACTTATAGTATCATTTAGATCATCATATATAAAAAAGAATTCCTTTCCCTAAATCAAAACAAGAATTGATAAAGATTATACAAAATGAATAGAAAAAAATTAATATTGAAATATTGTGTAATCTGATTTTAGGCTTTCCTAAATGAACATACGAAATATTAATTTTTGGACTTTTAAAATTTTTAAATAGTAAACCAATGCATTGGCATTTTATTTTATTTAGTTTCTTTTTTGACTTAATAAATATAAAAGAAACTTTAAATAATGACAAAAAAAAAAAAATTTTTTTTTATAACATTATATAATGATAATCATTTTCGGTAATTTATTGTAGGGGACTGTACATATATACATATACAGTATATATTTAATATGTATTACAATTTTATTGGTCGAATAAATAATACCCAGGTACTTTTCTATTTTTTGGATCACGAACCCATGAGTAGTATCCGGGTCTCATTTACGGGGAGTATTATATATAGCTGGGGGGGTACTGTGGTGAGTGGCGTACGATATACCTAATTCTAAAATTTTCCCCCTGTGATTTAATTTCCTGTAAGTTACACAGACTGCAGATTTTCTGTATTTCTGTCAATTTTAAATTCCCCATTTTATTGAAATATCAGTTAACTTAGTGAAGATGTATACATTTTCCTGGAAATCAACATCTTCAGCATATTTCCTTTAAATTAGAGTAATTAACAGAAAATCTCATAAGTACCCTTATAAGTTTAGTTAGTCCTTTATATTCTAATAAAAATCATATTTGACATTTAAATTCACCTTGTTCATCCCCTAATAGTGCAAAACACCTTTCCGTATTAGAGGCGAGCTTGCCTTTGATTTTCGTTGGATCTTGGACATCAGGATTATTATTACCACGTAATCGTATTTTTAGTGAAAGTAAAGGAACAGCTAAATCCCAGTGTCTACTGATCCGACAGTAGACTTGTAAATATTCCCAAATTATCAGCAATGGTAACAAATATTGGGTCCTTTCAATGATAGAAAAATGTACGAATCGGTCTTTGTTTTATGATCACGAAACATACGGCGATAGCTATTATGAATATATAGAATATATAGGTTCAGGATTTCCATTTCAATTGAACGTAAACAAACGGAGATTTTATTGAGTAGGCTATAATAACAATGTCTTTAACTTTGTCTTTTGAATTACGACTTTGATCTATTCGCAAGCTTTTTCGGAGTGAAATATTTTCTCTCACGTAATCGGGAAGTCGATTTACCAATTAATTCATGAAAAGTTTTAGTATTATTTCTGGATCGTGCCTATATAGGCTCGAATTAGTTAATGAACCGGAATATAAATGAGTACCATAATAATAAGTAGAACGCAAACCTTCCATGATAACACTTTACAAACTGCTTCAACGCATTTTGGGAAAGCATCAACCGTTCGTGGAATTATAATATCAGTTAAACCAATCATACATATTGTGTTTTCGAATATATAGGATGCTACAAATAGTGATAATGAAAGCTCTGGAAGAATATTAGTCCCATATTTAACTAATTACGAAGTTAGATAAAAAAGTATTTACCATTTGTTTGGATCGCGTATATTTCAAACTTATGAATATCCGGACGTGCGACGATTGGTAAGGCAAGATATGCACTGGCAAGTAGCACCTTTGAGCAATATTCTAACTTTGATAAGTCACTCTTCCTTTTACTTGCAATATCATATCTTCCATTCTCCCGTATTAATACTTCTTGGCTGATTGAAATAATAGTTGCTTTTGAGTCAATTTTTGGACCACTCTTTGTTTGAAGTTGGGCAAGTTTTTTCAACTTGTCATATGCTACAGATGAAACTTCACCACTAAATTGTGCAATTATGATGTAAATAATTATCACAGAAAATGTGTAATAGTAATAATAACACAGTAGGTCAGACGTTTAACCATACCTAGAAATTTGAATATCCCCTTTCTCCATAAACGCATTACACAAAAGCGGTGTCCACACATATGAATCATATTCATACTCAGTAAGGGCATGAGATAACGTCTCATTTGAATAGAGGTTATACCTGTTCATAAAATAACAGAATATGAAAGATTAATATTTGAAATGCAACAATGTTATTCAATCAGAAAGGCTTTTCATACATGTGATTAAAAAAACTGTAAATATAGCTAATGTTAAAATTGAGATTTGGGTAATTGTGAACTGAATTCTCATGCAGAGTTTTTCGTAATGCGTCTAGAGAAGTCTGTAAAAAAGATAAAAAAATTAAAATTTTAGTCTAGCTGTCATCAAATTTTGTAAAAACATAAGAAGCTCACACAATCTTGAAATGCATCCAGATATTTCATAACATCTTCATCAATGTCAATCGACAACTTATTTATTCCAAATTTTTTGCCATCATCAAAGAAGATTGTGTTAACATCTTCATTTTCCATTTGTTCTTGAATATAGGTAATCATTGATGATGGAAGGGGTTCTATACATAAGTTGTTATGAAAATTCACAACACCAATGTTTAATGGCCTGTTCAAATAAACAGAGTTCAATAAAATTGTAAAAGATGGCATATTCAGACATTAAAAAACTACTTACGTTCTAGTATTCTTATCATCTTGTAAAGAATTACAGATCTCAAGTCCATTCCATAACCACTTATTCCCTTTTAAAGGACACAAGCGTAAACTTGAAATTAAATCTTGTGCAAGATCATGCTGTATATATTTAGGTTTACTTGCAACTTTTCGCTTTGGTACACTGTCACGTTGTTTTACTTCAGGATGGTTTCCTTCAACTGATTCTGAAATAAGTTTTTGTTATACTTCAACATTACTTCGTTCATGATTATCCTTAGGTTCCAAGATATAATCATCCCCATTATTCATAGATTTAAAAATAGTACCATCATCAACTTCACCACTAGCACAAGAATCTTTTAACTCAAGAAAAACATTTGTAAGTGATCTTGGTGCAACCTCATACTCAGGGCTCGAGTATGACTCTTCACTAGAATCACTATTATACCCTGCATCACAAATCCTGACCTATGCATTGATATTGAGAATAAGTTAGAAAAAATAAACGCTTTTCTTACTAAATAAGTTGTAGTTATATGTTAACCTTGTTTGGAGTTAAAAATTCTTCCTTGTTTTTTCTTTTTTCTGCTAAAAGTAGATTACTTTCAATAATGTGCTCTTCTCGTACATTTAATTTTATTTGGTAAGATTCCTGTTTCTAGATTATTTGAATAAACAAATTAGTACAATAATAACCATTCCATTAAAAATACAGATAACGCATATATACTAACATCCTTTTCTTTCAATGCATCTTTAATAAATTGAGTTTTATCTTTTTCATTTTGTATATAGATACCGTTCCAGAAGGCCACTACTGAGTTGGCGTTGATAAATTTGTCAAAATTTGCCAACAGTTTCCGAGCTTTCACGTTATTTTCGGATGCGATAATTTTCAATGATTCGTGTAAGACTTCTTCTGCTTCTTTCTTTCGAGCGAAAGGGAAATTTAAATTTTTATAAAACTTGACAGCATTAAAGTTTTTGTCTGATATAAGTTCTTTTAATTGTTCGACATATGCCTGTTGAGAAAGATAAGTTAATAGCCTGAATCAATTTTAACGACGATAAAGAATCGATTGAGACAACCATGTCGCCTATAAAATAAAGAAGAAATACGTATAGTACTGTAAGTAAAGTCTTAGAATAAATTTGAGAAACGCTCTTTATTTTTAACCCGAAACTCTTTTCGGATAATCTAAGATCGCTACGATATGTAGCCATTTCGTCAACCACAACCAGAGGAAGACGAAACCCCTCAGGATTTACGGGCTGGGGAAACGCTAGATTTGAAAACTAGAACCCGAGTTATCCTCCAAAAATCGCTAGATAGCCATTTCGTCAACCACAACCAGAGGAAGACGAAACCCCTCAGGAATTACGGGCTGGGAAACGCCGGGTTGAAAGAAACGCAACTGTGAAATCATACTTGACCTTTCAAATCGAAGGAATAACTTGAAGAGTAATGTTGGGGTTATGAGATTCTTAATCCAAGTGCTAATATTGTTGTTTGTTTAGTATTAGAATAATTAGTCGTAAAGCTGTAGCCGACGTGCGTGTGGTTATCAGTCACTGCAATCACCAATTAGATTTTGTACTACATAATAGCGGAAGATGTCTTCAAAGAAATATGGTATATAAGCTTCGAAAGACAGAGGTACTTAATAATAGGGTATTTCTACCTTTATATAGAGATCCTTCTGCCAATATTGGTCCTTTGAAAAAGTCTTTTACTTGAGAAATTAACCATTAATATATGTACAGTGTGTTACCAACGCACATTACTCGCTCAGATTTTGGTGATACAAAATGGAAAATAAAGCCGATCGCTTACTATTTCAGGATGTTTACAACTTTAGCAACGCGTAACTTTTGCTAGACCAATCTGTATTACATTTGTGGGAGAATGGTGATGCCAAAAAATACATGCACAGACGAAAATTGGTCTCTCGACTACAGAGGGTGCCCATATTATTGTGGACACTTTTTATTATACAATAAAAAATTTTTTTAATAAAAAAAATTAAAT